TATATATATATATATATATATATATATATATATATATATATATATATCCATCCATTATCTTTTACCCACTTCTTCATTTTGGGTCACGGGAGTCACCGGTGCCCATGTCCAGCAATCACTGTGTGAGGGGCGGGGTACGGTCTGGACAGGTCGCACGTCCATCACAGAGACACATAGAGACAAACAACCATTCACTCTCTCACTCACCTATGAACAATTTACAGTTACCAATCATCCTAACATGCATGTTTTTGGTCTGTGGGAGAAAACCCACGCGTGCACGGAGAGAACATGCAAACTCCACCCAGAAAGGCCCCTGGACCGGGATTTGAACCAAGGACCTGTTCGCTGAGAGGCAGCAGCTCTACCAGTTGTGCCACCGTGCTGCCCCACTGTTGAAGTCAAGAATGTAAAATTAAGATGCTGAGAATATGAATATCTGAGGATATGAGTTCAAGATGATGCTCAGCTACTACCCCATCCAGTTTGGCTCTATGCCAGTAAATTTGTCTGAGTTATAGCAATATCCATCCATCCATTATCTTTACCCGCTTCTTCCTTTTTGGGTCACAGTGGTCACTGGTGCCCATAATCTGCAGTCATGGTGCGAGAGGCGGGAGACACCCTGGACAGGTTGCATCATGTTGGATACTATCAGCTGTGATAGCCATTTTGAGTTGTGGTGACAAAAGATTACGCAGTTAACATAACCAATAAAACCTTTCTGAGAATTTATTTAAAATGTGTCTGTTGGTTCATGAGATGTTTTTCAAACAAACAAAGCTGATAGATGCTAGATGATATATGCTCAATAGAAGTAAAGTATTAAAAACAAATGCTGAGAGTATATTAAGGGTAAAACTCACCTACTCCAAATTTAAGCTCAATATCTGTTAAAATGACTGAGCTGTAGTCATTTTTGTTTGCTATGGTCTATTTGCACTGGATTGATGTTAATTAACTTTAAAGGTTAATCAGTAATAGATGCACAGTCTGTGGTTGTTTTCTAAGAGTTTCATTAAAATCCATACATTGATTTATCATAGCTTTTTCTTTCAGACAAAATAACACAGTCATAGGTAAAAACATTATTGCTCACCACCTTTTGGTAGCAAGCGATAATAAATGAGCTTGTGTTTACAGCAGAAAATAAAAATGGTGCACAAGACATGTACAAGAAAAAACAGCTTTCCTGCGAACACCAGGGTTTTCAGTACTCTTTGTCCTGAATCCAAGGTTTGACTGTGACTGTTTTCCTCTCCCCAGCACCCTGACGGAGTCTGTTCCACTTTAAACCCACATCTACAAAATATCTTACAAGTGTGTTCCAAAGTGTAGACTCATGCCACCCATCACACAATTACACAGACACACACACACACACACACAAACAATTAAAGTCATTTCTTTGCCATCCATGTTGCCAAACCCACATTGTCATTTAATCCTAATCTCTCCCCATCTCTCCAGTCCTGATTAGACATTTAGCTTTTCAGAGCAGCACTGGAGTGGACAAGATAAGATCTTTTAAGATGAAGCTCTCTTCTGGAGAGGATGGGGGCTCTGACTGTAAACCCTAACGTTGTGTATGAATGTCTGCGTGGGCTCACATTATAAATGAATGAGTGCATTTGTGGATTTTAGGACGTGCATTTGGATTTAAACACACAGACCAGTGTAAATCCAGTGTATAGAAACATCTGAGGCATATGGCAGACTGACCACCAATGAAGGGCTGTGACACACACATGCACATCTACACATAAGTGACATTGTTGGCCCTGCTAAGCACTGCAGTCAAAACTAGTATAGAAGAGAGCAAAGACATTCCTCACTCCTCAGAGTTGAGCTCTCTGCTCTCAAGCCAAATGATTAGAGCGCTTTAATCAGCCGAGGCTCTGAAAGGACAGTTATCTCCCAGCGCTTCATATCTCTCACTCTGCGTCTCTCATTGCAGCGCTCTCTTTTCCCTCAGCGACAACCTGTCCATGCGATAGGCATTTTCCTTCAGAAGACACGCAGAGATACAGACATTCAAAAGGACTGAGCATGAGACAGAGGAAGAGTGATGCATGATGGTATGTCCAGCATCTTTCAACAGAGAGAATCATTGTCCCGACAGAGCTGCAGAGTGACCCACAGGTGTGGCTTAACTTCGGCTGCATCACAGTTGGTCACTGTGTGCACACATCTGTATGCGTAAGTGAGCCAATGAGCACGAGGGTGAGTGAAAGAAGATGACAATTTGTGTCAGTGGGGATAAAAAGAAAGTAGGTGATTCCTGAGTGTTGATTCTCTTAATCCAAAACTTTTTCCTGTAGCTGGTGCTGCAGAATGCACCGTCAGTTAACACCGATATAATTCTAAATAAAAATAATTAACTCGCTCGGGTTTCTCTTTTTCACTTGTATTCAGCTAACACATCAGAAATAACAAGCATCCAAACAGAAAGAGATGGAAACACTCGTTTGGGCTCACATCTGCACAGATACATTGGAAAAGTTCTTGATTTTCAGTGTTATTCAAGATATTAACAAGTTCAGATGTATTTTAAACCATAGATTAATTCACATTATCTCATGTACAGTAATAAATATTTGTTATTGAAACCAGTTCAAAAGTCAATTCACGATCAAAACGTATTTAATGGGGCAAAGTTAGCAATATGAAAGGTAAGGAATCACCAACTGAAGCATCTCATATTCTTATTGTACTGCTAATTGTATGGATTTGGTGATGTGCAGCTTTATAAACATAAGCAATGCCATAAATTGTCCTTATATGAGGCTTTTTGTCCATTTCCCTTTAAAAAGTATCAGTTATCAGTTCAATTCAGTTTATTTATATAGCACCAACTAACAACAGAAGTCATCTCAGGACACGGCACAGAAACATTCACATACATTATAAAAGCCAATTAATAAAAGTTATCTATCTAAGGAAGCTTGTTGAGTCACTTTAATATTTATATTTTAAATTTACAATTGTTCAATTTTTTATTTTTCTTCTATGGCTGTTCCCTTCTTGAGGGGTTGCCACAGTGAACTAACTCGTATGAAGACAGCAATTTTTTTATTTTTTTATTTTTTTTACCACAGATGTACTTCCTGACACAACCACAGACCACCGAGTTACCACAGCCCTCTGTGTGGAGCAGAGAGCTGCCATCTAGGGCACCTGGGAGAGCAGACGGTGGGGATTAAGGGCCTTGCTCAAGGGCCCAGAGTGAGGTAAATGAGGGTGGAGGAAGTGAGTGCTTGTGCTTCACCTTTCCAACCCACATTTTGATGTTATCGGTACAGGTGAGTTGAACCGATGACCTTCCGATCACAGGCCCACCTTCTTTAACCTCTGCGCCACCACTCCTCCTCTAATGGTCAAGAAATAATGTTTGTATTTTAGGTTTATGGGGTTCTACTAACCCTAAATATCGAGGAAATTAAAAATACACACCTACCAACAGCTCAAGACTGGGGTAACACCCCCATGCCCCCCTCGTTTACTTAGCTTGGCCATTCGGATTCAAAGTCTTAAAATTGTAAACTGTCTTTTTGGAGGAATTTTAGTGCAAACGTTTTATTAAGCTTGAATCAATATCCTTATGAGACTGCTCACTACTTCCCCACTCTGTGGCACAAACGTTTGCTTGTTTTCCTCATCCATGGCCATTTTGAGTCAGCTATTTCGCAGGTTGCCTACCCTTGAGCAAGTTAAAGCAAAACGGCTCGTTGCAGAGAACCATCTGCCAGTCAGCATGGACCTCCAGAGCCTCTGTGTCACTACATCCCACATTGACCTTGACTGGGCTATGAATGAGCAGTGGGAGGATTCAACAGAACAGCACCACAAAGCTTCACTTTCAAACTCTGCAGAAGTGTGTTCATGTGCGATAGAGACACAAAGTCAGAAACATTTGATGTTTTCTGACACGCTGCTATGCAAAGCACAATAAAAGCAGAGCTCATGCAGACAGAGAGTGATGGAATAGAAAACATATCATCTGTCTGTCTGTCTGTCCGACTGTCGGCCACCTTGCAGAGCTGAAGCTTGCATGGATTGTTTTATGATGACATATCCACTGTGCCTAGAGGGCCACCTGACATTCCTCACTCTGAACCCCCTCCACACACACACACCATCAGCACTCCCTCCACCATTCTCCCTGTGTTATCACTCACGGCAGGCAACTTAAAGCACACACCTTTTCACCCTGCAGTTTTTCTTCATCTAAGTCCACTTTCATATTCTCTTATAACCTTAGTTATTAAAAACTATGCAACTTATATCAAGTTTTTGTCGTTTTTGAACTAAACTTGTGCACACATTTTTGCTTTCAGGTGTACATAAAGTTTAATATTTATCACTGTAAAAAAAATCACAAGACTAATAAATTTCATTTACAAAAAGATAGATATTTTAAAAGTTTAAAAGGCCTTTTTAAAATTCAAAATTCCATGCATTATGCCAAACTTTGATTGCAAAGGTTAAGCCTTCAGAGTTACAACAAGGACTTGGAATGACGCAAACAAAAAGCAGTGAAGTAATTTTGGAGAACATAATATATTGAGTTATCAAAAAACAACAACATGCAGACCCGTGTCTGACACGGGAAGCAGAAGCCCCAAAACACCTGGTACCTACCACCAGAGTCCGATGATGTTGACTGGACAGAGCAGGATGAAGAAGATGGCCAGTTGGATCCGTGAGAGACGAACCGTCATGTTGATAATCCCCAAGATTCCCCAGCAGAGTTTAATGTGACGAGTTCAGCCAACACCAGCAGCCACCTTTCCTTAAATACATAAGAGGTTCTTGTTTTGTTTTTTTTTTTCAGTCAAAGTGTCTGTCAACCAGCGCGCAAAAGTCCAGCTCTTCTCCTCTCGGGCGCATCTTAACGCGCAGCGAAGTTGGTCAAGTGGCTCGTGAAGAGATGTCCGCTTTCAAAGGTGTGGTAAGCCTCTTCATTATTCTTATTCTCTGTCTGTCTCAGCGCGACTACAAGCTTTGGAAACGGGACCGAGGAGGAGAACCGTCCAGGCGGCGGCAGAGGCTGCGCGCAAAACAAGCGGCGGAGTGGGAGAAGCGCGCAGGACGTCTCCGCTCTTTGGAGGAGTTCTCACACGATCACGTTGTGTGTTAGTGACAGCAAACTGGAGAAAAGCTGCTGCGGTTTAAGAAGGTCGAAGAGGTGTTGGAGTTGGGGAGATGAGTCGCGGTGCCCACCGGCTGCAGGTAGAGGCGTCTCTGACAGCATGGTTTCCTTGGATGCGTTTTCTCCCACCTTGGCGCGTGACGTCGCTCCGGGCGAGGTGAAATCTTCACTGTCAATCATGGAAGGAGGGAGAGAAAGAAACGGCAATTAGTTTTTAGGAGAGGCGGGCTGGGAACAGGGACGGGGTGTAAACACAGTAACCGAGCAGGCGCACACGCACTGAGGGAAGACAAAAGATGGTTTTACCATCTCTGAAGGAGTTCCAACATACCGGGAGGTTTGGGGTTCCATGTTTTGTCTGTTATAGGTTTACAATGTGTTATTATGAAGATACATTTGTTCAAATCAGTCTCTTTTTTTCTGAACCACAGAAGCAGGGGCACCACTAAGGGAAAGCAGGGAGGGGGCAATGACCACCCCAACAATTGTTTCCTGTCCCCTCTTTGTTTAGACATTTGGTAGTTTTTCACTTCTGGGAGACGATTTGTCAACTAAAAAATGCAAGAAAATGTGTAAATTTCCCACAGATGTGTCCCTGTTTTGGCTGCTGTGGTGCAGTGGTAGGGCAGCTGCTTGAGACCAGAAAGTCACTAGTTAAACTCCCCACCATGTCGTGGCATCCTCCCTAACTACTTTGCTGCCTGCTGCTTCACTTGAGTGTATTTCACGTGTAATGGGTTAAATGTAGAGCACGAATTCCATTAGAAACATACAATGATGATGATACAAAGCACTTAACAGCAGTTTTTGCAAACAGTCCTGTGGCCACGTTTTGGAAAATCATGGCCCATTTTTGAGTGCATGGCTTGAAAAACTATATTCTTAGCTGTGCACATTATTTTATTGTCCACCTGCAAACACGTCACCAACACAGCCAGCTTTGTACCCACCTTTTTTTTTCATTCAACCTTTATTTATAGACTAGTCTCATTGAGCCACGAGGACTCATTTACAAGAGGGACCTGTTCCAGACCGAGCATATAAAGTACAGACAACAATAACAATAAACAATAATAACTATAAACTACAGTTAAAATGCAGTTAAAATAAGAGTAGTGTATAAATTAGGGTGAAATACTAAAATCTGGAACATATCTGCATTACTTTTTCCATTGACATTATCAAATGTTTGAAAATCCATAAATAAATAAATATATATATATATATATATATATATATATATATATATATATAAACAGTTAGTAGTACGAATAATAAATTATACATTGGTTTTTTATTTAGTTTCAACTAAAACACAAAGTTAGTCTTTCTGAATAAGAACAGAAGGTCTAACATTATTGGATTAAATATTTTGGTGTAGAAGAAGATTTTCCTTATGTAACAATGTGTTTAAATGTCTTTAGGTCTTGAGAAGTTATATGCATGTTTTTAATAAATATAGTCAAATAGTAGTTTTAACCATATAAAAATAACAAGTGTATCAGAAGATATTTAGTCTCACATTGCTGTGTTTTTATATAGCCTTACATAACCGCAGGAAAAAATAAATCATGTTCTACTTTTGTTTGCCCCCCACAAAATCTTGATTTTTCTTCATTCATATGTAAATGTGTATGTGTGAGCTTGAGTGTGTGCTGCATGGATTGGTTGGTGGTGTGTGTGTGTGGTGGGGGTGTTATCACCTCTCTGGCCAAGGGCAAAGCCACTGAAACTCAATATTGCTGTAGTGCTGTCGCTCATAAAAGCCCCGTCACCCGACATCGTTCCACAGCAGTGACACAATTATTCACAACGCTGCCAAATTCACTCCGAAAAACCTTACTGTCCTCCACAAAAAGTTTTATTTCTATTTACCAAAAGACACAAATTAATGACATTTTCTGACTTTATTCTGGGGATGTAGAAGCAGGCAATGCTTTGGCATAAAATAATCTAATTTATTTTTCATATACTGCCTATTAATGGATTACCACTTCGCATCACTGTAATAAAAAAGGTTTGTTTTAGCTCTTGATTTTTTAAGACTTACCCCCTCAGTTCTGAGTTGTTTTATTTGATTGAATAAAGTTGGTGGAGGGCACACAGCTTTGTTTGGGACTCCAAAAATATAACTGGACTGACATTTTGCAGATATGTTACACTGCGTGCACGTGATACTTGCATGCACCTTGAGTAATTTGACAGATCACTGTGGACAGATCAGACTTTATAAATGGCTGTAAATGAATGTCATGTATCTTGAGTGACCAATTGTGGATAAGTGCTTTGGAGTAAACACATGGCTGCACTACCCTTACATTATGTTCTGAGGGGGTGGGGGGGTGGTAGCATTTAAATCTAATTTAATGCATCTAATGCTTTTGTGAAATGTAAAATTAATACATTAGGTGGTCTGAACTAATCAATTAGTGATTCATGCATTACCATGTTGTTAATTCTTATAAGTTAAAGGATGTATAAGGGTTTTTTAAATGAAGGATGAAAAAACAAAAATAAAATGAGAATTAGTGGCACTCATTTTTAGGAGGTATGTCAGATTCAGCTACATGCTAGTGATGGGAAGCAAAAAATTGAGCTTCAAACATTTGTAATGAACAGTAAAATTGACTCTTTCAGCCTGGATCCAAAACTTTGACTCTGCTCTCTTTTCACCTTTCACATTTTGACATGAAGTCTTGACTTGGATTATTGTGGATGTGTAATATAAAAGGTTTGAACATAGATATTTTTGCCCCTAGTCTATAAGTATGTTTTCATGACAGTTTTGGCATCAGGGTGAAAATTAATAATTAATAAATTATTTGTTTCATTATCAGTAACAGTAATTTTTAAATATCTTGTTTCCTGTTTAGCTCTTTATAATTTACTGTTATTTACAGCTAAATAAAATCATATAGATTATTTTATTTAATCTAACATGCCTATGACTTGTCAGATGTAGGTGTGTCTCATATATATGTATATACTTAAATGAGGTCTGCGGTAGCTTGGTGGTCTGTGCCGCGGTCTTGTAATCCTGTGGTGAGCCAAGGTTGCGTCAGGAAGGGCATCTGGTGTAAAACAATTGCCAAATCTTTCATGCAAATTTACTGTGGCAACCCCTGAAGAATGGAGCAGAAAAAAAGCACTTAACAAACAAAAACATCCTGGAGTTTATCATGACAAAAGCCTATAATTAAGAACTGATAGGCGAGTTTCTCAGGCAGCAAAAACCCAGTTTGAAAAAGGAACGAGAGGAGCCAGGATGGAAATATAAGCATGGCATGTACCACCAGCAGATTGAGGAAGTGGCTGATATCAACAAATCCTACCAGTGGTTAGAGAGAGCTTGACTGAAAGACAGCACAGAGGAACTAATCATGGCAGCACAAGAACAGGCCCTCAGCACATGAGCAATAGAGGCCGGGTCAACTATGCCAGACAAGACCTGAAATGCAGGCTGTGATATTATGTTTTTACATTTTAAGACAGTCCAAGAAATAATAGCAGGGTGTAAGATCTGTACAGGCAAAGCTTACTTAGAACATCATAACCAAGTGGCTGGAGTAATGTACAGGAACATTTATGCTGAATATCCACCGGAGGTTTAACAGTGAACGTGGGAGATGCCACCAAGAGGGATGGAGAACAGCAGGGATAAGATAATGTGGGATTTCCAGATCCAGATGTGGGATTCCAGTGTTTTTGTCATCTGCAGTTCTCCTGGTGACAGGCAGGCGCCTATGAGCAGCAGCTGGAGTCAGTTTGGTAGATGAGCTCCAGGACTACTTGAGAGTGCTGCAGTGTTTTTTGGGCTGTGGAACATAACATACCAGCTGGTATGATATCAGCCCTCCTGTGTTTTTGTGAATTACTAGAGTCAAACTTAACAGTTTGTCCTTAGTGTTTATCTAGCACCTGTTTTCTCTGTGGAACAAGCCCTGGACCTACCTGAGTACCTCTTGAGTCTCCAAATCAGACTGTACATTAAGGAACCTGTTGCCACCTGCCTGCCTTCATTCACCAAACTACTGCAACAGACTAACTTACCTGGAATCCTCAACCCTCCTCTCTGTATTGACCAATCCTAGGGACAATGTAAGTAAGAGTAATCATTCAGAGCCATTTTGGACCCATATTACCTTGGAACCTACTTACCCATGACTCTCCTTTTCAGATCCTTCCCTGATTCACCTGTACATAGTCCTCTTATATCACTTGTACATAAACTGCAATTATCTTGCCAAGTCTGTTATTCTGAGTTCCTCTGCTCTGGTGTAAATAACTCTGCAATTATGATACCAGACTGACAAACAGGTGATGGCCAACCAACCAGACGTGGTGGTCGACAAGCTACAGAAGAAAGCAGTGGTGATAGATTTAACAATCTCAGGTGACTGTTGCATCAGGAAGAAGGAGCACGAGAAGCTCAAGAAATACCAAGGGATGAAAGAGAAAGCACAGAAGTCGTGGAGAGTCAGTCAGTAGTCCCAGTGATCAATGGAGCACACCTGGTGTTGTGACCCCCAAACTGGAAGAGTGGCTCCAACAGCTTCCAGAAACAAACTC